AGCCCAGGTTTTGCAACATAGATGAAACAGAACTTGTACGTCTGTAGTCACTGCAGACAAAACGGGCAGCTCTACGCTGGACCATCTCCACCCTACTCACCTGGTCCTTGGTGTGGGGATCCCCAGACACTACAGCCGTACTCTAAGGAGGGTCTTACAAGAGCCATGTAAGCTCTCTCCTTTGCCACATTGCTTGAGATTCGCAGACAGCGTCTCAGCATTCCTAAGGATCTGCTTGCTTTCGCTGTAACTAGATCGACATGTCTGCCCCAGGTCAAGTTTGAGGAGATGGAGACACCAAGATATTTGGTGGTACTTACACCAAGATATTTGGTGGTACCATTTTCATGTATCCTATTTATGGGGCCAATGTTGTCGATATTTGATATGAAAAATAACCCTACTGCGCTACAAACGTGTACGGTACAGTTTTGGCAACAACTGCTGAACTAGAGTAGAATAAAACTTAATATCCTAATTGCTACAAAAAGAAGGGCCAGCATAAGTCTTCGACAAAGAGTTACAATCGAGTGCGGCTAATCACCAATTTCGGTATTTTTCCGAGTATAACAAATCATATAGTTTTCCAACATGTGTATAAGAAGATACTCTGCCCTGAGAGCGTATTTAGCAAAAGCGCTTGGCCTATTACACAGGCCCAGGACTACTGATAAACATATAACAAATAGCCTAAGTAAGTATTAGCTTGTCACAAATGTTAGCATTGGCACAAATCCTTTAAAAGTGAGTCACCCCCATTAACGACGTGAGGCGTTACGTAAAACCTCTGGGTGAAGGCAGCAAACACCGCCAACCGTCTCAGGGTATGGTACGACCATATGGTGACATCTCCTTTCAGCAGGTAACTAATATAAAGCAACCCGTGTTTGTGATGGTTTACAAAGGTACACAAAACGGGTGGCATTACGTAAGTGTCTAATGATGTCATGCGCAATACATCACAGGTTCAGCGCAGGCGCTGTACGTTCTGCCGACGTGCTCACTTGACCAGGTTAACTTTGTGCAATATGCAAGTCTTACAATCGATGCCCATCCGACTAACAAAAACTCACCAGATTGTCCTGCTAAGATTGCAGAATCAGACTTAAGCCTGTTCACCTGTAGTATAAGATTATACCTTAAAAAGATAGTTACTGATTCGCCCATCCAGCAAACAACAAGGGATTCATTAGAATTAGTAAGCAGAGAAATCCATGCCTTCTTTGAAGTATCTGTGACAGATTTGTTGATCTTGTATAAAGGCGTTTCATACAATATGAAGAAAAAAACGATCGCATTGGTCTCAAGATTGTTTTCGACACAATGATTTTTTCACTTTCGACAGACGCGCAGACTACTACGTCAGCAGGCCTGTGCCCGCCATTGGGAGTACAGAATCGTTCGATCATCCCAGACGGCGTAATGACGGCTACCTCAGCAGCAGCCGGGTCCGAGGCGTACAGGGCCCGCTTGAACGGCGACGGTGCATGGCAGCCCACAGGCCAAGCGGCATCAAATTTCCTGGCTATAGACCTACAGTATCCACGTTATATATGCAGTATCCAGACCCAGGGGCAGGGGGATGGATACGTGGAGACCTACAGGGTCATATTCCAACAAGACAATAATTCGTCATACGTTCTGTACTCGGAGGACGGTGCAAACCCCAAGGTAAGTTTTGTATTTAACGTTCATGCCGCATGAGTAGGGCATGGCTTTTCATTGAGGTTATAATAATTGTCACATGAATCTCGGAGACCAGGTCTTGGCGGGTAAACTAATTAAGTAGCAGTATGTTGGCATTTAGATCTAGAAAGGCCGACATGTGCATCGGAGCAAATGCAGCAAATGGCTTCAACAGATATCCCCCGTACCAAAAATGGGCCTGTCGCCCGCACGCACAAATGAATTGTTCTTAAATCACCCCTGTCCAAAATGTAACGTGTTCCAAATAGTCTATATACATGTGTACCTCCATGCAGCAATGTAGTCTTTCAACGCCTTCTACAAATGTCAGGTAATTTGTTTATGTCCTGCATTCCAATGCTGGGGCAGGAAAGTTTGACATACCTAGCAAAACACTTGGATGCAGTTCATATGGTATGGCTTGCTAAACACGATTAAATCCCAACAGCCAATCAGCAAAAAGAATACTAGTAGAGGAAAGCTTCATGCCTATTGGCTCTTTCTCTGCATTTTGATGACTCACCCCTCACTCTACTTTAAATTGTGACCTGAAAAGAGTCAAAAAGTCCCAAATTATACAAATTTAAGGGAGACTATGCCAAATATAGAATTGTTGTTTGTAGATTTCTAAAGCATACCCATACCGAATTTCAGATGATTTGGGTGTAATACTAGGTCTCTAGGACCCGAAATGTAAAGATTTTGTCGGAAAAAAATTAAAGACTGTATAAAAAAATAAATAAATAAATAAATAGATTTTAAAAAAGGGCCGGGGGTATTTGTCCACTCCATGCGAAATTTAAGGCCATTTGGCTGAAAAATGGCAGAGTTGAATCCATTTAAAGAAATGGCAGGAGAAGGATGAGAAGGAAAAAGAGGACAAACACGAGAGAACACATTGTGTTTCACCACACCACGCAGTCTATATTCAAAAGAAAACTGGATGGCCAGTCATCAAAGTCCAAAAACTGCGATTCCAATGTGATTACAATGTGGCACGTAGACCGTTCACAGAAGACATGTGTTTTGTTTTCAGACCTTCACAGGCAACAATGACAACGAGACTGTCGTCCAACAGGACTTCTCCTCGTACATCTATGCCCAGTTTATCCTCATCAACCCCTTGAATTTCTCCAGCGCCCCAAGACTGCGGATTGAACTTCTCGGAGTTGATGGTAAGAAGCCAAAGTTAAATCTAAGTTTAGAATGAAAATTTTGGAGCCGGAAATCTTGACGAGTATAGATGAACTTGAGCAGCGAAGGGTTTTAGGTGTCTTTTGCATGAAGATGTGAACAAACTTGTAACACAATTTCAATACTAGAAAGGCCAATATTTGCTTTGGAGCAAATACAGCGATGGGTTCACCACATTTTACGACATGGCAGGGAAAGAATGAGAAACACAAGGGAAAACAATGATTTACATTGATATAACTATAATATGAAGTAACATACAACTAAAACAACAGTTGGATAGCTATTCCCTACTTTATTGGTTAGGATTTGTAATTGCATAATGCAAACTGTTGATTTTCAAAATAAATAAAAAAAACGTTCATGCCCCGCATTCCAATGCTGGAGCAGAAAAGCTTGAAATACCTACCAAAACACTTGAATAAAGACATACTAGTCAGTATGGAAATGCTCTGTGCAGGTGTTAATCAAGTTAAATCCCAACAGCCAATCAGCAAGAAATGCTCTGTGCAGGTGGAAATGCTCTGTGCAGGTGTTAATCAAGTTAAATCCGAACAGCCAATCAGCAAGAAGTATAGAGGAAAGCTGCATGCCTATTGGTTGATGCCCTAGCATTCCATTGTGATGACTCATGCCCAGACGTGGTAACACGGCACACTAGCACCGTAATACATTTGCTATAACACAGACCAAAAACTCAAATAAAACCATTACTAAAAGCCTGTATCACAAAAATTTAAA